TAAGCAAAAATGTAAGACTCTGTACAAGTCTTTCATATATATTTGATTATATTATAAAATATATTTTTGCACTTATTTCATTCAAAATTATATAAAAGTTTTAAATACATACATAAATACAATTTTTATGTATATGTAAATACATTTGAATGTTATAATTTTAAACCTTTCTAAAAGAAAAAAAAAATACCTTTTTCAATTTTTTATTTTTTTTCCCTCTGCTTTGCTTGTTATATTATCAAAGAAAAGCATACAAGTGTAATTGAAACGGCTATTATATTTCAATTAACACCTTTATAAAAATATATATATATATATATATATATATGTGTATATATATATCTTTGTATATAATATTATATTTGTAAAAAATTGAAACTCTTATATAATGTACCATTTTTATTTAATACTTATGTATTAAGAAAATTTTCAATATATAAAAACGGAATGAGCAAAAAAAATAAGAATCAAGTAACAAAGGCTATAGTGCTATAAAATAATTTCTTTTTAACCCTAGAAACGTTTCGCCTAAAAAAAATCTTCGATCGCTTTGGAGTACAAAATACGGTCTAACATTAATTGTTGTATTTTAAATTACGCAAAACATATTTGAAACAATGCTACTTTTGAGTCTTGCCTTCAATATCATTACATTTTGTATAATTAAATTGCATAATTTAATTATTTGAAATTAACAAAATGATAATTCTTGTTCACCACATCACTTATCTTCCAATAATTCATCACTGAAATTTTTGTGACAAGGGCCAAAGAATGTTGGGCAACAGTGGAATTCTCCTGTTTGTTCATCTACGTGTGTGCGCCCGTTTTTTTCTTCTGCAAAAGTATTGCCAGCTAAAATTGAGTTTCTTTTAAAGACAAAAAAAAACGGAATCGGGCATAATTCAACTAATTCATAATTAATCGCTTGTCTAAATTCAACAAATTTAGTTTTTATTTTTCTCTGTAAAACCAACGATTATTTCATGTTCGCTTTAAATTTGTTTTTCATCCCAAAAGAAATTACAGGGTTAAATATAGTTTTTTTTGTTTTGCACAGAAACACCTGCATACTATGATAACAAAGAATTTTTATATACCTATATAGTAAGATTTATACTAATATAATAAGAAATAATGTAGTTATGCAACTACATATATATAGGTGGGTATATTTACCTGGCAAGTGATTAATAGCTTGTGTAAACATTTGACTTTTCATATTTTTAGGGTATTATTATTCTCTTTCTCTCTCACTCTCTCTCCCTTTCTACCTTTTTATACTTTCTGTATTATATTTCATTCAATTTTGCAAATATATATATATATATAAGTGCATATATATATATAGTTTGTAAAATACTGTTACAGTTATTGAGAGCGAGGGGTGGAGGGAAGGAGATTTATAAAATCACAATTGTTATACATATATGATTTTTCCGCTTGTTCTCAAAATTCTATACATTTTTATACATATTGTGTTGCTGTTATTCAAGTCAAGCATCTTTACATTTTATCTATGTACATGGGTGTATTTTATATAATATTGCAACAATATAAACATTATATTTTGTAAAAATGTTTTTTTTTTTGAATAAAATACACAAAAGAACACAATTTTAAGAGCATGTTGAGAATTTTATTTATTATTATTTTTTTGTGCTCTTACCTATGATAATGTTATGAGAACGCGTTATATTACTTTGAAATATTATATGAGTTGAGACCACTAAAAAACATAAAAGAAAAAAAAAATTGTGTAAGGTACTATAACTTAAACTAATTGAAGGGTGGTGAATGTAAATTTAAATGATAACATATAGAGTTGGTTGTATAACAAAAGTTGTTAAGGGATTATAAAAAGTAATACTGAAATGATACAAAAAAATAAGGCTTTAAAATTTAAAATTCAAGATATTTGCAATAAATTAAAAGAATGGTTGCACCATATGGAATAAGTTTCTGAGAAAATTTAATAATATTTTAAAAAATTTAATAAAGAAATTATTAAAAAGACACCTTTTTTGTTCCATGCTCCTGCTAGAAGCCTGTTGCTGATTATGAGCGCTCCCTCTAAGCCAGGAATGTTCGAAAGAGATTTCTTGCAAAACTATTTATTTTTGTTATTATTTATTTTTTAAGAAAATTTTAACTTCAATTTAAAAAAAAAATTATTATAGCTATTCTTACTCTTGTACTCCAAACTTTTTAGCACTTTTCCAAAAAATTTTTTGAAAAAAGTGCTTATTAGTTTCACTCTGTCCGTCCGTCCGTCCGTGGACAATTTTTTTGTATACAAAACTTGTACACCCTTGAAGATAGAAAGCTGAAATTTCATACGTAGATAGATCTTCACTAGAAACTTATTTCCATAGAACAAAATTTTTACCTATCTCCCCCCCTCTAGAAGTTATACCCCCCCAAAACCCTAAAAATGGCCTTTCTTAACTATTTGTTGCAATGAAACCATAAGCATTTTTGAAATTTTGCAAACGCAGAAAGGCAGTGGCTTGCTTCCTCTAGTGCGGTATACTATAGTTAAACTTTAGAAAAACAAAATGGCCGTTCAAATTTACCGTTATCTAAAGTCTTTTTTTTCCAAATTTTTGATTTCGTTTTTCTTCTAGACCCCAGCCTGTAGAAGCTTGGAATTTTAGGGGCTTATAGAAATTAACAAATAGTTCATTTCGTTAGAAGAAAATTTTTTTCCATCTCCAGCCCTTCTCAAGTTATCGCCTCTTGAAATTCGTAAAATTTGAATTTTTGGCGCCTTATATTTCCGAAACCGCAAACGTTTTCAAATTTCTATAAACATAAGAAGCTAGCGGTAAACTCCATGACATTAAAAAATATAATTATTTTTCTTAACTCACACAATTAAACTTTAAAATCGAGCATTATGTTAATCCCTCTTTATGTTAATTTTTGCTTTATTTCAAAGACTGCATGAATGCATCATCCTAAATATATGCAATCCTAGAAATAGTTAAATATAAATGAAAATAATTTTAATAGTGTGATAGGTATACATAGACTGTATTTAAAAGCAGAATTTTCACTTGTTGAAGGGAAAAGTGCTACAATACAAACCATTGGTTTGGCCCAACTTTATTACTTATCACTCCAATACTATGCGATTATTTCTGCATTCCAATACAAGGACTATAACAACATAATAAACCCTTTTTAACTAATCAATTACAAGAAAAAAAAATTCATTGCCAATATTTTGCATAAACAAAAAATAATTTCAAAATTTATTTAAACGGATAAGACTGTTAAATTTTAACTTACACGTCCAAAACAATAAAAAAAAAGAAAAAAATGAAAAAAAAAAACATGGAAAGCATTTTTTTTAGGAAAAAAAATTGATCCTTAAAAAAGAGCAAACGAGCTACTTGAGAGCTCTTGTTTTCTTTTTATATGTTTGTTTTCGTTATTTCTCTCTTGTTTTTTCTTATGAATAAAGGTTATTAAAAAGTTTATGTTTTCCTTTTATGTAATTTTTATTTGTTATATTGTTGAAAAAAAAAAAGAACCGTATGAAAATTTTTTTTTTTATTAGTGAGGATTCTTAACGGCATATTATATACGATATGTATGTATATGCATATTCTTTTATACGGTATATTTAAAAATATTAAGTTATAAATGAAATTTACCACGGACTTGTACAACTAGAGCGTATGTAATGAAACATAATTGGGTAGAGTAATATTTGTATTTGAATAAGAATGAATATGTGAGAACTAGTGACTCAAAATAAATAATAATAGTGAAATAATTGTAACTGTTAATAAAATGTAATAGTTTTGTCCTGTTGGCAGTAGAAGTTTATATTATAAGTATAACATAAATAACCTGTTGAATATTACACTCAAAAATAAAAAATTTTTGTCTGGAGGTTTGTTGAATCAAAAAATTCTTCTCTAAATATTAATTTTTTTTCTGGGTGTGTCATGCATAAACTTGAAAAATAACACTTGAAAGGTCTTAAAAACAAAATGGTAAATATATTTTGCAAAAATATGAAAGTTTCTTTGTTTTTCTAATTCTTAATAAGTTTTATGGCCGGAATACTTAAAATTAAGAATTACATTTTAAAGCACATTGAAGATTAGGTTACTTTAACGATTATTGGTAAATTATTCGAAGATGAATTCAAATAACGAAAACAATGTTATCTTGAGATAATTTTCTTATAATTATAAAACATTGCATATTTTTAGGGGTATCGCTATTCAATCATTACAGCTTCATATTTTTGAGAATATAGAAGTTTTATAAGCTACCAGATAAACAGACTGAGTGACAATAAGAAGCACTTTTTTTTATTTTTGAAAATCTTTAAAAAATTTAATAAAAATTACTACAAAAAATTTTTGAGTATATAGAAAATTATTTTATTTTTATCTTAAATATATGTAAAAATTAAAATTATTTAAACAGTTTTTTAACTAATTAATATTATTATTAATTTTACAAGTTATAATTGATTAATTTTCTCTTTTACTCAAATTTTCAGCTCAACATCAGCTCACCAACAATTTCAACAACAAAATTTCATCAAAACATTTGCACCAATTATTTATAATAATTTAATAGAAAATTTTTATTGTTGCAAACAACATATCATCAGCAACAACAAAAATAGCAACAAATTAACAAATAATAATAATAATAATAAAATAAAAGAAAATTTTAATAAATATTATAATAATAATAACAATAGTTCAACAATAATAGTTTCATTAAATATAAATAAAACATCGAATTTTAATAATAATAATAATAATAATAATAATAATAATTTAGTTAATAATAAAAATTTAATAATTAGAAAAATACAAAAAACTTATTATTATTATTATCATAATCATTATCATCATCAATTTATATTGTTGTTGTATTTTTTACCACCGATTTTGATAAAATTCATTGAAATAATTATATTTCAATATAATAATTTTAATTTTAATACGAATATAATAAATATTTTAAATATATTTATAAAATTAATAAATACAATAATATTATTATCATTAATAATTGTTGTATTATTAGTATTATTATTATTATTATTACAATTACTGCAACAATATGATGAAGTCATCAATATTTATAAAAGAAGCAGTAAAAAATTTCAATTTAAATTCAATATTAACAACAACGATGATAATAATAATATTAATAGGATTAAATACAAATACAATAATAATTGTAAATGGTTTAGCAGAATCTTCAGCATTAAAATCATCAGGAACATCTACAAGAAAATCATCATCAATATTAGTTGGTTCTGGTGCTGTAAATTTAATTGGTTCACCAAATGGTATAACATTAACACAAAATGGTTTATTAGCACCATCATCATCATCATCATCATCATCATCATCGACATCATCGGGTTCACAGTCATCATCAATAGGTATAACATCATATACGGGTACAATATCAGGTACATCTGGGACAATATTAAATGTTGGTTATGGCAACGAATATCATCAAATAAATATATCATCATCTACATTGATGCCGGATGATATAACAACTGAATTTATTAATGATACGGATATAAATGGTACATTATCAGAGGAACCACCCGAATTACGTTATACTATACCACAAATGGTAATATTAGCAATTGTTGCAATTATATTAAGTATATTAACAGTTGCTGGTAATGTTATGGTTATGATATCATTTAAAATTGATAAACAATTACAAACGATTAGTAATTATTTTTTATTTTCATTGGCAATTGCTGATTTTGCAATCGGTTTAATATCTATGCCATTATTTGCCGTATCAACAATATTAGGTTATTGGCCATTAGGACCGCATATATGCGATACATGGCTTGCATTAGATTATTTAGCATCAAATGCATCTGTATTAAATTTATTAATAATAAGTTTTGATAGATATTTTAGTGTTACAAGACCATTAACATATCGTGCAAAACGTACAACAACACGTGCAGCAATTATGATAAGTGCTGCATGGGGTATTAGTTTATTATTATGGCCGCCATGGATATATAGTTGGCCATATATTGAAGGTAAACGTACTGTACCACAATATCAATGTTATATACAATTTATTGAAACAAATCAGTATATTACATTTGGTACTGCATTGGCAGCATTTTATTTTCCTGTAACAATAATGTGTTTTTTATATTATCGTATTTGGCGTGAAACTAAAAAACGTCAAAAAGATTTACCAAATTTACAAGCTGGTAAAAAAGATTCATCGAAACGTTCTAATTCAAGGTAAGTTTAATTTATTTTATTTTTTATATTATTTATTTTATTGTTAAATTAAATTTACTACTTGAAATTTTGATTTTATGAATAAATAATAAATTGTAACAAAATAAACAAATCACGTAAACGTTGAAAGTAATCTATTTGCTTCTTATACCGTAGAAAAAGGGAGATGGTTAGAATCAACCTTCTTATCGAAATCGTTTTTCCTTTACCCAAAAATTTTAAAAGTTAATCTCATTTTGTTGGAGCAATTTTATATTTTTTTCATCTTTCTCCTGTTCTGAAAAATTTCAATTTTATGTTCACAGAATTTTTGTCGAAACTGTAAGCTGCTTAATTTTTCAAATTTTCCAATGAAAGCACAGATTTGATGGTAATTGAACTCCTGTCAGAAAATATAAGGAAATATTTTACAATATTTAATATTAAAACTTATTTATATTAAAACAAATTTTTACGATATTAAGAGAGTAATGTTAATAGAATACCGAACTGAAGCAATATACATATTTCTTTACAAATCACAGAATAAAATTCGAATTTATTTACTCAACCCTTTATATTGCAATTTATTTTAAAAATCACTTAAAAATTATCTATGACTTTTTCATTTTCTCACCATTACTTATTCTTTTTTCATATATAATTCTCAGTTTTTATTGAATTTTATGATTGTCACATCTTGACTATGTGGTAAATTCAAACAAAATTATGGAATTTTTTATTTGTTTTTTAATATTATAACTATTCTATAACTACTAGTAAGACTATGTGTATGAGAGGGAAAAAAAAAGCAAAATGTACTTTGATTTCTTATTCATAAATCTATCACGTTTTACACAAATAAAAGAAAATATTGATAATTTCCATAAAGAAGGGACAAACGATTCAGATATACAAAAAAAATATGAAAGAAAAACATTATTTATTTAAAATACAGAACGGAAAACACAAAAATAAAGTAAAAGAAAGAAAGAGAGAAAAAAGTCACAAAAAAAAATTTTTTTTTTCCATCTTCATCTTTGATTTATTTTTATTGCAGCAATAAAATAAATTGAAATGGGAAATTTATACAGGAAGTATTGGTATTTTCTTTTCCTTTTTGAATATAAGAAGAAAAGCAAGCTGTTTTCATCTTAATATTCAATGACAAGGATAATTACATTAAATTATACTGTAAATCTAATTATAATAAAACCAAAACAATGCAGAACGAGATGAAAATGACATAAAATCATGGAAAACCGCAGGTATTCTGCAATAATTTTGCAAAGTTTTTAATACACTAAAAATATCATTTAAAAATCAATTAAAAACATTTTTTTAATAAATGTTAACGCCTTATATAGAGTGCAGAACTTTTGCCTGTTTGATGTTATACAAACACCATTATATAAAAGATAAGCAACACACGATTTGATTATATAATGAAATTTATTATTTGTCAAAATAGGTATTGTTGTTTTTATTTCTCTTGAAATCATTCACAATTGCTTTGGGATCGATTTCGGCCGATTATCGCTATGGACTGAATGAGAACAATGTATGCTTCTAAATTGAAATTGCAGATGGAGCCCATTTATTTTCTAATAAATGAATAAATTTGAGTGTTAAAGATTTTTAATTGTAAGCAATAGTATCTGTTTTATAGATCATTTCGAATTGCTCCTAGAAAGCAGAACAGACTGTTTTTATCATCCTTTAATCATCTTAAATATTATTTTAAGATTATTGTTATACTAAGTTATATATACCTTAAGTATATAGAGCTCCAAATACTTGAGTTATATAACATTATTGAAATTTTATTGGCTCTTATTTTCCTTCAATTCTAATTTAAATCGAATTTCTATTAGTCTATATGTAAAAAAAAAAATTAAAATCAATATTTATAGTTTTATTTTTCATTAGAATTCATCCTCTTGAATTAATATTGGAAATTTGTTGACATTGAATATTATTCTCCTACTCTCTCTCCCTTCTTCTCTATCATTTACCCTACTATATACACAGTTCTCATATTTATTTTCTTATAAATTATAATTTTCATCAAAAACAGGCATAAATATTCAGGTACGCACTTTATATTTTGTTTTAACAACAAGTACTTGTAATATTCTATGAACACAAGTGCTTATATTATATTTGTCATGAATAGAAATGTCATTACTACATTTTACTTGCAAATCAAAACTGTTAACATATGCAATATATATTTTTCATCATTTTTATTAAAAACAACCTACATTTACATACATATTCTTGTTCAATCTTTCCATTATACCAAAAACTATATTTACAAAAAAAAATTGTCATGAGATCAACTTGTGGGTATATATATAACACAGAAATAATTGTCAATTCAAATTTGCAAAAAAAAAAAATTGAAAGAAAAAATTGTTATATGCATTATTTATATATGTATATACAAAACTATTTTGAAAAGAATACAAGGTAAAGAAATATACAAGATTGGATTGGTATTGAGAAAAGCCCGCTGAAACTAAAATAATAAAGTATAATATAGGTAAATGAAAAAGGGTCTATCAAAGAATATCTTCCCAATAATGAAATCTGTAATAAATAAAAAGGAGGAAGAATCTATAGTATACATACTTGTATATTGAAAATTTTTTGAATGTACAGTAAATAAATGAAAATTGTTCTATGCATTGCAAAGAAATTTTTTGTTCTCATTTTAACATTTACAATCCTTGCTCGTCATATCTTTGCTAAATTTTTTTATGTGGTGCAGAAAAATGATTAATAAAATTATTTCCTTTTGGATTGAATATGATATAAAGACATTATTTCCTGATTTTACCTTCGAGACAAAGGGATAAGTAAGGAAAAATTTCTGAAATTTGTGTTATTTGGATCCATCATAGCCTTCCAAATCATTTTTTTTCACAATTCAATTCAAAAATCACAAAATATAGTTTTATGTAATCCCGATGTAAAAATTTATCAATAACTCTACTATTTTTATTGGAGGAGTTGGGCGAGATTTGCGGGCAGCCAGACATTTTCAAAAAATATTTTTTTGGCAATGATTCAGAAAAAAAAAAATTTCGAATATGGTTATGGGCCAGACACTTGAAAGAATCTTAAAGGCTTTTCAATGAACAGTAAATTGATTTTGATGCGCCCCAGACTTCAAAAAATTCTTAAGGAGTGCATTTTAAATGTTATTGCTTTTTACCACAGATATTCCTAAAGACTATGAAAGCTTTATTTTTTTTTTGTTTATTATGATTTTTTCATAAATATTCATTTACCTAGTTATTTATGTACATCATGTGCACAATTACATTCTGGATTTCATATATTAAGTATACATATATTTCTATACATTTTGTGTAACTATAGTTATAGATTATAATATAGAATAAGTTGACCTATCTAGAATTGTATAAAAATCATCATCAAAATAAGGGCAAAACAATTGAGAAAAAATTCATTTTATTTTCGTATTTTATAAATTATTTGAAACTATTTATGTATGTGTGTATTCAATATTTTTTATATTTGATATTGAATCGAAGGCATGAATAATTATTTTAACTTATTTATAAGAAAAAAATTATTATGAGTATAATAATTATTATTATATTAATAATCATTATTATAAGATTATTATAAGGAGAAGAAAAAATTTATTCTAGATATTTAGACTTATTGGCACGTTTCCAAAATATTTTGAAAAAAAAAAATGCAAAATTTTCATAACAAGCAAAATTTTCTTTCTTTCCCTTCCAGTTATAGCCATTATTAGTTGTCAAAGTGCATGTTTTGCAAGATTATCGTGTCCGTATTTTCGTCACACATAGAAAAATTACTTTTTTCTTAAAATGTATGCTAAAATGTTTGATGCACTGATCTCTCAAATTAATCTTTCTATTAAACCAATTTTTCATTAAATTTTGAATTATGTACGAGTTTACTCGAGAAATCTCAAATTACCTATATTTTAAAAAGATTTATGTACATATATTTTGCTTTAGTAGAACAGAAAATTTTTTATGGCATCTTCCTTCTGCAAATTGCCAAATTTCTGTTTCTTTTGAGGAAAAAACTATTGAGCTAATTTTCATTATTGTAATAGAATTTTCGTAAAATTATTACTTTGTAGAATTCCTCCTAAACATATGCAGCATTATTATCGTAATAAGAGAATTTTTTTGAACAGGAAATCATTTTCATTAATTAAACCTAACCTACAGTGGTACAAAAAATTATTCGTACAAGATTAAGTTCCATGTTCTTTCTCGATTTCCACATATATTAACTTATAAAAAAAAATTATTTTTAATAAAATTTGTTCTTCATTTATTTCTTTTTAATTATCAACAAAATAAAAAACAAAAAAATAACACATAAGCAAAAAAAAAAGAACAAAAACAAATTTCGAACACATTTTCGAGACAAAATATTATTCGTACAAAAATAAAATTACGAGTTTTTTGAAAATAATTTAAGTATTTAATATTTTGTATGATTCCCTTTGGATTGTATTATGGCTTTAAGACGATTTGGCATCGATTTAATTAAATTTAAAGTTTCATTACGGTCGATTTTTGACCATTCTTCATGTAACCTTTCCTTTAACTCATTTTTATTTGTAATTTTAGGTTTTCGGATTCGTGTTTTCAAAGTGTTCCATAAATTTTCTATACAGTTGATGTCTGATGATTGTGGGGGAGTGTGTAATTGATGTCTAACATTGTAAAGTAACCATTCTTGACAAAGCCGAGATAAAATGTGATTTTCTTTTTAATATTACCTGAAGTGTGGTTCGGGTCGTTATCTTTGTGGAAGTAGTATTCGTCGGTCAATCCTAGTTTTTCTACACTAGCTACCAAATTACGTTTTAAAATATCCAAGTTTCCAAATTTATCCATTAAATTTTCAATAACTTCCAAATTTCCAACCCCAGAGGCTGCCACACACCCCTACAATAAAATACTTTCTCCACCATGTTTAAATTTGCTTGCAAATTTTTT